CGTGCGTTGCAAAAATATTTATGTGTTGTTTTTTATTTCAAAAATGTTTCTTATTTATTTATACACGTACGTATACAGAGATTGAATAAAAATATATATACGTGTGTAAATGTATCTAGTTATTATATGAGACCTTGAGCGCTGGAGTAGCTTAACTAACATGAGGTGCACACCCTACAATGCATTACCAAAGTCAAAACGGTAATAGCCAAAGGCACGCCCTTTTGGTGTTCGTTTATTATAATATGTAGCATCACGTAGGTGTAATCAATTTTTTAGTAAAATACCGCATTTATTTTTTATAGATCCTTCTTTCTCATATTACTAAATTTTTTTTTATAAATAAGCTCCTCTTGCCCTCATGGCCTCATATGTAAAACGAATTTGTTTAGTTTTCTTTTAATAAAACTATTTATATTCAACAATTTTTATTGAGCTTGAGGCCATTTCTAATGAAAAACTTATTGTGGAAAAGCAACAATAATTTGAAAAAATGCTGCAATTCACACTTGATGAGAAATAACTTAAGGACGAGCACACCTAAAAGCATTATTAACAAAAACCAACAAACACATACATAATCAAGTGTGAATTGCAGCAGAATAGCTGCGCTTGGTTATGTTGGCTTAGCAAATGAAAAAGTGGGAAAAAAGCAACAATAATTCACAAGGCGAACTTAGCACAGTGCGTAGGTAACTGGCTGGGTCAGTCGGATCGCCGGTTCGAATCCTACTGAAAGAAGTCTGATGAGGAAATGTGGTGGTTTCCGAAATAGCTATCACTTCTACCATTTTTTCAAATTATTGTTGCTTTTACACAATAAGTTTTTCATTAAAAACGGCCTCAAGCTCAATAAAACTTGTTGAATATATTTGTTATAAGACCATAAAATAACAAAAACATAAAACTATTTATTGTACACATGGCTTATTTATGGCGAATAAACCAGGTTTGTTTTTACAGTTTATTGTATATTGTTGATTTTTTTTGGTAACTTTTAGGTAACTTTGTTTGTAAATTCTGGTCAGACAATTTTTTGTCGTGTGGCAACCGTGTTCAACATACTTGCAAATTAGCGATATCTGGCTTAAAAATTGTGCAACTATTATCAATTATCAA